GTTCAACTCTGTTTTTGTCTCTCAGGAGTCTTTGAAATGTTCCTCATAAAGGTTTTGTACATTACTGCTAGGTTTGGTTTATTTTATTTTATTTTATTTTATTTTATTTTATTTTATTTTTGAAATGGAGCCTCTCTCTTTCACCTATGCTGTAATGCAGTGGCACGATCTTGGCTCTCTACAACCTCTGCCTCCCGGGTTCAAGCAATTCTCATGCCTCAGTCTCCTGCGTAGCTTAGCTGGGACCACAGGCACGCACCACCTTGCCTGGCTAATTTTTGTATTTTAAGTAGAGATGGGGTTTAGCCATGTTGGCCAGTCTCGAACCCCTGACCTCAGGTGATCCACCTGCCTCGTGGCCTCCCAAAGTGTTGGGATTATAGGCATGAGCCACAGTGCCCAGTCATATTTTTTTGATGACATGTTAAACTTCTTTTTCTGCCATTACTTTTACAAGATAATATCATTATTTGGGATTGCCAAGTTAAGTTTCATACCATATGAAAATAACCATAATTTTCTTTCTTTTTTTTTTTTAAAAAAAATAAGCTAGTTCCTTTAAAATTCTATTTTGAAGAGCAAAGTTTCTAAAATGACCACCCATGCAATGGGCCCAAGGATGTGAGCTACAAGCACCTCTAAATCCCTTCAATTTACTAAGTCCTAGCCAGGGAAATAATAGAAACAGACTTGAATGTGGAAAAAACCCCCGCAGCTCCGTCAGTTTGATTTCTGGGAGAGGAAACTAAAAATTGGTTTCCTTCCAATGAGCATTCAACAGGTGCAAGTGGTACAGAGAGGTTTTTCCTGCCAGAGAGACCAGAAGATAAGGCAGAAGAAAGATCAATTTCATTCTTCTACTGGGCTACTAAGCAGCCCAAGCCCTTCCATATTCTAATGAAACTCAACAAAATCCCAATGAAGAAAGGCACACAGGGGGAAATAGGGGAGGGGCAGCAGGAGGTGGGGAGCTGGGAAGAGAGAGCATGGGAAGAAATGCCAGATATAGGTGATGGGGAGGAAGGCAGCAAATCACACTGTCATGTGTGTACCTATGGGACAATCTTGCATGTTCTTCACATGTACCCCAAAACCTAAAACGCAATACAAAAATAAAAAAAAAATTAAAAAAAAAAAGGCACAGAAATGAGAAACTTGGCCTAGACATCTCATCCCTTATCCCTATTAATAATAGTAAAAATAAGAATTGCTATTTTTTATTCAGTGCCTACTAAGACTAGGTCCTTCACACATATAATGTAAGCAATCTATCAAATTCCAATAGGCCTGCAAAGAAGGTATTTTAGTTACCTGCATATTATAGACGAAAGACTCAGCGAAGTTCAGTAACTTTCTCAAGGGATCAGACAGCTAGTCAGTGCTAAAATGGGATTATGACTAAATCCCACTGTGCTTTTTTTGCTGTCACTTCCTTGCAATGCCAATTAAAACAATGAAGTCAGCAAACATTAGACTTTAGTACTTTTCTAATGTAAGCTTTCAATACCACTGTTCACCATTGATCCGAGTCATATGTTCCAGAAATACGATTAGCTTAAATATTAATCAAATTTTATATTGGCTACATCCTCTGTGTCTTACACTATTATACGCTAACATATTTTTGAATTATTGTTATTGTACATATTTCTCTTTAAGCTTCAGATTTATCTTTCTTTTCATATTCATCCAGCCCGGTAAAAACCTACTAAGTTCATCAGATTGCTTGGCTTTGTAAATGGCATATTCATTTATATGGTTAAGTTCTCCTGAAATAAGCTTTCTTTGCTTAAAGACTGAAAATTACTAAGACTTTTTATATTTTAATAATAAATTCACAATTTTCTACAAGAGCAAACCCTTCAACAGGCTGATCCTGATGCCAACACATAAAATATCTTTTCCTTTTTACTAAGGCACTGGTCTGTGTTTGTACAGCTGATCAATAAATCAAGTAATTCAAACTTTTAAAACAAAAACCCCATAAATGTTGGTATAACACCTTTAAAATGCCAAAAAATCAAAATTAATGGATATAGTTTCTCAGACAGAAACAGACTTTAAAACGATCTGAAATTATCTGATTTCACATATACGTAAGAGTCTGAATCATTCATGTATGATAGGTAAATGTATTTGTAGTTAAAATTATATTATTTTAAATTACAATCTCATTTTATGTTTCTAAGTTTTACAGAGTTTTATGTACTGTAAAATCATCTATATTAACTTTTGACAGGTTTATTCTGGTAAAGGAGATTTGTACCTGAGCAATTTACTTGGAATAAAAACCATAAATGTCATTTTTAAATAATGTCTTCCTTTCTTCCTTCTTTGATAAAGTTCTATAAATACTATCTATACTTTGGTGATTTAAAAAAAATCTTCAACCAGTTTTACCAACTAAACCATTTTAATTTTTGACAATAGTATAACATTTACTCTAATCCTTATTCATAATAACAAAGAAATGCTTAGGCCAAATCCCTTTTTACTACTGTATATGTAAAATAAACCACATTACTAAAAGTCTTTGACTTTACCCACATACCTTTTCCTTTCCTTTCTTAGCGTATAAATCATGAACAAGCAAAGCTTTACTGTAGAGTCAAATAATAAATATTTTAGGTTAGGAAATCCATAGGGTGTTTGCTGCAATTACTCTGCAGTTGATGCACAAAAGCAGCTGCCACAATACGTAAAGGGATGGGTGTGGCTGGAATTAGCTGGCACCCTACTGCATGTGGCCCATGGTAGCAGTGTGCTCACCCCTGAGCTAAATCATGAGGAAAACATGAAAAATACTATCCCTACAGTCACCCAGGTATCTTAATATTTAGCCTGACAAAAGAAACTATTCACAGCCATGCTAAATACAGACTGCCTTAGCACCGAATAGAATTAATCTTGACCCAGAGAATGCTATATATAAAAGTCTACTTGAATTAGATTCTACTTTTCCATATAACCACAAATTTTTCTTAAGTATTTTACCAAACAAGGGCCCACTCTAACTCTAGCCTGATTTTCTAAACTGTCTACAACCAGTCTCTCTCACCTTTCCCTAACTCATCCCAATTCCACTGTATTCTATAGATTTTTTTGTCCCAGGAAGGTTAAAAAATCACCACCTTCTCTCCATACAAAGAGTGAATTGTATTTCCCCTACCTCTGCTACCAGAGTTGGAGGCTAACTTCATTTCCAGTCTTCTTCTCCATTGCTACCTTCTACTACATAAGTTGGACAAGCTAAATGCTTATTTTTTTAGCCTCCTTTGCAGCCTACCATGGCCATATCATAAAACAGAGGACTTTTATAAATATCATATAAAAGACTACTGGGTGGAGAGTAAGGAGGGCTCTCATAAAGTTTTTATGTTTTTAAGAAGAGGGAGAGATAGTTATAATTACCAGGACCTCTTCCCCTTTTCTGCCTATTTTAATGCCTAAAAATGCAATGCCTAGAATCGGATCAACCATTAAAAAAACAAACAAACAAACAGAATTGTAAAGATGCCAGCAGTGAAAACATTAAGCCACTGAATCTCCATGACCTCCAGAGTTCTTGTTATGTGAGAAATAACAAAGCCTGTAAATTGAATTTTTGTTGCAAATGAAAGCATTCCTAACCTACCATTTCTTGAAAATGCTAGGACTTAGAGTACTACTCCTCATGAGAAGCGGAAGAGTAAATAAAACTGGCTGAGCAGTTTGTTATAAATCCTGACTAAACAGCATTCCTTTAAACCTGGAGAAAAAGGTAGCAGGAAGAAAAACACAAAAGACAATCTATCTTGAGGATCGACAACCAAGGGCAATGAAGTCAAAGTGGGCAAAAAAAAAAAAAAGAGAAGGTCGGAGATGTAGAAATGTTAGAGATGTAGAAAAAAATAATAATTGAAAAAGCAGTCATCTAGAATTGTAGGCCCAATCAGCCTTATTAATGTTATACTCAGCAAATCAATTCTGAGAATTCTGATTATACTAATTTCCTATCATGAACTCCCACTGCTTGGAAAATAAAAGTTCAGGACTCTGTTTTTATAGCTACAGTCTTGTGTTTTTCAAGCTAATTATTATAATTTATCTTTATGTTTCAATTTCTCTGGTATTCACAAAGGCATAGTTACTGTCAATACATGATCATTTTGACATGTGCAGAATCTTTGAAACAATTATTAACAATCAAGTTAATGATGATACTGCCAATAAGAACAATGGTTGTTTCACGCTTTCACACACTAGTTTAGCTGGCAGATCCATCACTCTAACTTGAAGGACTTCTCTTCTACATCAGTATTACTGCATAAAATACCAAAGATAAGTAATTCTACCTATTGAAAAGAAACTTCAGAAATAGCTTATTTTAACACGCCTCTAAAATGTTACTTTACTTTCTTACAAATAATGCTATTTGTGCACAGGCGTGCAAGGGCGCACGCACGCGCGTGTGCACACGCGTGGGCACACACACACACACACCCTCTCTAGTTCTAAACCCAATAGTTTTCTGCTACATAAGAAGGATTTGGTGGTTTTATGCTGCTATGTGAATACTTATCAGTTACAACATCTATACAGTAAAAAAGGTATTTTTTTAATTTTTATGATTTCAGAGCAGAATTCCTAGGACTGTCAAAGCTTTAACTAGAAAGAATACCAAATACAAGGAGGTTTCCAGCTCAACTACAGTAGTGGAACAGAATTTAATAAAGTTCCAACACTACATTTTAATGCCCAAATTTCTTACTGTCTTTTTTAGTTGACAAGTATGTACTTACCAGCATAACAGCAGCAGAAGAACAGCTGGATGGCCTTATCAGGCACAAAGGAAGCAACAGCACATACTGTTAAGTGTCGTTCTGATTGCCTAGAAATGGCAGCACATGCAGATTTATTCCCTGTTATAAATTAGAACAATTATTTCTCTGGAGTTTACCTTGTCTTCATGAATAGCCAAACTTCCTGCACGTTAAAAAAGAGGACTTTCAAAAGGATATCTTCCCTTTCTTTGATGATCAGTTCATTCTGTTCTTCCAACTGCCTGATCTTCTTCTCAAAGGACTCCTGCTCCGCTTTCAGTCTTTCCTCTGTCACTTCCTTTTCCTCACTTACTCTGAAAGAAATTAAAAAAAAATTTCTTAATGCCTAACAGAATAAAATTAAATATGTGCCTACAGCTGCAGTTTACAAAAACCAGACTTCTTCCAAAGGTACACCAAATTCTTCAGGAACACTCTGTTCTGTTTTGTTGTTGCTTTTTAAAAAATGTAATCTCTCATAAGGCAATCTTTTTCATCTTTGTAATAAAAGATGCATGTAATTTTTACAATAAAAATGTTTTCAATCATCACAACTATCTTAAATATGAAAAGCCCTACAAAAGACACAGGTGCTAAATTATAATCCAGGACAGAAATATATTCCAATTTTTAAAACATGGGGTTTCATTTTTTAGTTACCAAAACAGGTACAATCAACTGATCTTGATTTACAATGTTTATTTAAATCCTATTAATAAAATAAACAAAATATGTACTTTAAATATTTTACAAATATATACTGGCAATTTTACTTTTTCCTAGTACTAATATTCTGCATTCTTTAGTAGCATATAATTAATAGGATTAAATATAGATGACATTAACATAAAGAAAGTTTTGTAGTATCTGTGTTCTTAGTCCAAAAAAAAAAAATCATAAAGTTAAAAACATTGACCAAGAAATGCGTAACTCTGAAAAGGATTCTAACTTAATTATACCAAAAAGGGTAATTTCTGACAAGAGCACAGAGAGAAAAAAAAAAAAAATCTAAAAACAAACAAACATGAACAACAGCAACACTATTTGCAATTCACTGAAGTACAGATTGGGACAACCCTAATTTTCATTCTACTCTGTGTGCAGATACATTAACCCCAAATTTCTCTGTTACTGGTACTTATTTCTCCACAGCTCATAGAATGCATTTATCCTATAATAGGAAAAGGCGTAAGTGAAACACATGAGGAATCTAAACCTTTCCTTTGAGCTACTAAATTTACTTTTGCCCAGAACCCTACTCTACTCGAACAACTTCTGCACAACATGAATCTCATAGGTTTTCCTTCTTTCCTGCCCTCTGGTAGAGATACTAAAATCAATGAAATAACTAAAAATAGACTCATGAATGTTCAAGAGTTGATTGTATCTTATCTTTGAAGTAATTTGTGTGAAACCGCATAGCACCCAGTAATGCTCAATAAATAGGTTTATTTCTTCTTGCTCATCATGTCATTCAAGTCATTTTTCCTGGCCCATGTATTATTTATGTTTAGCATATCACTAGGCCCAGGAATGGGATCCAGACCCTTCTTTCAAAGAGGGTAATCTCAAAGACTGATATATTTACAAAGAATTCGGACAACTAAGCAAATATATATATATATATATATATAAAGAGAATTTATAGTCTGTTAACAGGTTATCCTGCTTCCCTTATTTCCATCCCTTTACAATGTCTTCCCTTTTCCTGTTATTACACTCAAGTCCACTTACAATAACATCTTTCAAAGTAACTTTGACAAAGTCTGCTTATCTCTCTGGGTATCATTCATCTCACTAACAAAGAAAAAAGGCTAGACTAGACAATTTAAAAAATCCTTTTCCACTGAAGTTCCAGAATTTCTTTTACTACATCATAGATATCTTGACATTGTATATATATCCTTTATAAATATGGAAAGCATTTGTAAAGAAGCAAAAAGTTATCAAACATTTGGTCATGGAACAAGACATACAATACTACGATTTTGGCAAAAGCTATGCCGATAGGATGACAGAGTAATAAGCAGATTAGGGAAATATTAAAAAGTATAAAGATGTGAAATTTGGCATGAGACTACAGAAATGCAAAACAAAGGAAGTGATGAATCTGTAGGATGATATATAAAACAAAAAAAAACGAGTGATGCTACATACAGGTTTAGTAGTCCTTATCTAAATGCTTGGGACCAAAAGTGTTTCAGATTTCAACTAGTTTCTAATTTGGGAATATTGATATTACCCTATGGGTAACATGAAGAACTTTTTTTACATTTTAAACAGTATCTTTAAATCATGGAGCATGGAATAAGCAAACAGTGAATAACGCAAGGAGGTCTTCTTCCCATGTGGGGCACTATGAGGATTCTGCTGTTGGCATGTCCAGCCTGCTCAGATACCTTTATAGGATTGCTGGTGTAGGAGAATTTGGGCATGCTCAAAAATGCTCTATCACAGCTACAGGGGTTTTGGGAGGGTTTTTCCCTTGTGGAGGTACCCTAAATAAACTGTAGCTGTATGCCTGTGTTTTGACTGTGCCCTGTCACATGAGCTGTGGTGTAAAATTTTCCACTTTTAGTAACATGCTCGTGCTCAAAAAATTTCTAATTTTGAAGCACTTCAGATTTCAAATGTTTATATTAGGGATACCCAATCTGTATGGTGAGGAAAGAATAAACACTATCAAGGTGAGAAAATACATAGCAAAATCTCTCCCAGTTTAGACTGGTAAAATCTTGAAGACACAATGACAGAGGAAAATCCATAAGTAGATATGGAAACATTTATTTTATTTATTAAAAGGTATTTAGTGAATACATACTAAAGGAAAAAGTAATCACAATCATCTTATTCGGTACAGAGTATCCAAAAGGGAACTAAAAAATGGCTTTCTGTAGTTTAAATCCCATTCATAAAAGCTACATATAGATGGAAGAATGTCCCAAAGATTTGTTTCTTCAACAGGCAATGCTCCATGATCATAGAAAACAGTAACAGAAAAGCAGATTGCAGGTTTACCTTAACATTAATCTAAATGCATAGATTATCTCTAGAGCCCAGTCAGGTAAGAAATTCCATGTCAGAGTCTGTGATGAGCTTTTCCCTAAATACATTTTATCCAGATAAAATCATTCTTTTCTAAATTTAGTTTTCGGGGTAGGCTTGAAATATCTGTTGCTACGTTATTAACCAGGGCTTTTTCTTTTTAATCTTTTCTGTTATGCTGCTATGATTCGACTATCCTTTAGCAATTATTAAGCCCTGAAAGGCTATAAAATTAACAAGCTGTATTAAGAACAAAGAGCAACATTTTTTCTATAGGCTTATCTAAAGATATGCATGGTTTTTTTGTGGTCCATTAGCATAGTTAATATGAGCAAGTATATTAATACAGATTGTAAATGCAGAGGACCTGCCAATAAAGCAACCTCAAGATTTGATATTCATTATGAAATCTGTCTTCTTATGTTCAACAGTATTTCCAATGAAGTATGTGTAACAAGAAGATATTTGGTATCATGATCCATATTTTTCATCTAAGTATTCTCAGGCCACAAAGTAAAATAAAAAGACCTAATTCTCTATCTCATTTTAGAGAACAACAGTTAATCCTAACTTCTCCAGAGTTTCACTTTCTATGGTTTCTGTTACCTGATGTCAACAGTGTTTCAAAAACATTAAACAATAAATTGCAGAAATAATTAATTTTTAAGTTTTAAACTATGCACCCTTCTTAGAAGCATGATGAAATCTCACGCCAGCCCTCTCTGTCCCACCAGGAACATGAATCATCCCCTTGTCCAGCATAGCCACACTGTGTATGATTTCTGCCTGTGAGTCACTCGGTAGCATCTGGGTTATCAGACAGACTGCTGAGGTACCACAGTGCTAGTGTCCAAGTAATACTTATGTTACTTTCACTACAGTACAATGTTACATTCATTCTATTTATTAGTAGTTACTGTTAAGCTCTTACTATACCTAATTTAAAAATTAAATTTTATCATAGGTATGTACACATAGGAAAAAGCATCATATATACAGGGTTTTAGGTATCCACTGGGGGCTTGGAACATATCTCCTGCAAATAAGGGAGAATACTGTACAGCAAAAAGCAAGTTAACACAATGAAAATCTAAATACATAAAAGGGAACTATTTGACTAATAGGATAAAACATACCTCCTTCCAGACAGAAGGAGATGTATAGTGTTGATTTGTTAATTATTTACAAGAAAGGCAATAACCTGGTCATAAAGAAATCATCATTGTTGGTAATACCTTACAGTACTTTTCAAAAACTTCCACGAAATGTATTCTTATCTAATAGGCAGGAGAATTCATACTGTTAAGAATTGGGTGGTAGGGCTGAAAATCATGCCAAAAGTACTAAATTTATTTGAAGTCTTATGCTTTACCTTAAACATTCATGCACATTTTGAATTCCTCTCAACAAAACAATCCTATTTTAATATTAAGAGTTTTCCCATACTCACATATTCTAAATTTTTAAATAAAACTAATTTTTAAATAAAACTCATTTAAACAGTTAGTTCATTAACATAAACTAATTATTTTTAATAAAACCAATTTTTAAATAAAACAAGAAATAGATTTATTTTATGCCTTTGCATACACCTGATATTCTTCCAAATACTCCAGAAATTGGTACTTTTACATGAATGTGAAAGGCAATGTCAAGTCAGTAAACCTATTTCAAAGAGAATTCTAGCTCACCTAATAGTCAAACAAGTTTCTTCCCTCTTTAATAACTATCATTTGGGAGCTGGGTATGCTCAATGTATTTTGCAAACTATGATTAGCAACTTAGTGGGCAAGATTGGAAAAGGAAGGAACAGATTTCAGAGTATGCCTAGCAGATAGCAAAAACTCATATTGTTTTTAAGCAAATTGCATTGATAAAAAAGAAGGAATTTCTCATTACAAAGAAATATTTCAATGAAATCAGTTTAACTCCCTCTTTACAAATTTTAATGTTTGGCTATTATTTAAAATGTACTGCTAAAGGAACATAAGTGCTTTCAGGAATCACAGACACAGCAATATATGTCTAAAAGGGCTCTACGAACTACAAACCAGTATCTCTTATGAATATAGACATAAAAATCCTCAACAAAATACTAGCAAACAGAATGCAGATATATAAAAATAACTCTACATGATTGCCAATTGGGATTTATCCAAAGAATGCAAAGTTGGTTTAATATCCAAAAGTCAATTAATGTAATATTATATATAGATAGAATAAAAGACAAAAATCACATGATCATTTAAATAGATGCAGAAAAGCATTT